TTATTAGTCATTAGTAAACACAATGAAATTATATTTTCATGTTTCTCATCAGGATGGTATAATTAAACCGTTGTTTTAATAGTATTTATTTCATTGCTGTAATAAGTGGGTAATTTTTTGGGTGCAGATAAACTAATAAAATTCAAATCGTGCGCAAACTCAATAACAAATATAAACTCAACAAGCACCCAAAAGGACATTAAAAATTACTTTTTCGGGAAAATAATTTCATAAATCTTATTACACTAAACATGAACTATAATTTAAATTTTAAATGCTTACATAGGTAAGGTCATTTGCATTTTAAAGCTTATATAAATAAAGTGCTTGCCACTATAAAATTTAAAATCATTTCTAAATCTTTAGTGATTTTTAAAATTTATTTTTAGTGTTACTAAAACTATACAAATACTATTAAAATGAATGTTTTATTACTATTAGCCCTACTTTTTGTTGCTGTAAACGCCGACTATAGTATCGATGATTATAACCAAGTTCAAAACTCAAGAAATTTTACTGACAAAGTAGTGTTGGTGACAGGATCCAGTTCCGGTATAGGGGAGGGTATTGTCAAACTTTTCTCAATATTGGGCGCCAAAGTGGTGGTTACCGGACGGACACCGGAAAAGGTTAAGCGTGTGGCCAAAGTGTGTAAAAGATTATCGCCTTATAAATTAAAGGTAAGTCTCTCACTCACTCACTTGCTAGATCATTTGTTTTGTATGTTCCTTTGTGATATTATAATTTATGAACTATAAGATTATTTTGAGGAATTTATTTATTATATAAAAATATAAATACTTATTAAGTTTGGTGTTAAAATGAGCGAAGTTTTTACTATTTATAATATGTTAACTAATTTTTATGACATCCATTTCCCTGTCAGCCCCTCGAAGTGGTCGCAGATCTGACCAAAAGTGATGACTTGAATCGTGTGATCGCAGAGACGGTGAAGACTTTCGGAAGACTCGATGTTTTGGTGAATAACGCAGGGATTCGGTCACAACTGACCACTATTTTGCAGACCGATGTCATGAAGGCCTGGGATCAGCTCTACTCCCTCGACCTCAGGGCTGTCGTAGAGCTCATACATGTGGCCGTCCCTCACCTACAGAAGACTAACGGCTCTATCATCCAGATATCAGCCCTCGCGGGCTTAGCGCC